GGACAAAATAACAGAAACACCTGAGCAGACTCACCTGGAAACAAACAGACTTAAAGGTGTATCGTTACCTGAAGAGAGCGAGGCTGAGCGACCAGAGGACGAGCGGCCGCCGCAGGTTCAGTTTGGGTCGAGGCTTCATGTAGTGCTGACCGCCAAACACCAGGGCGGCGTATAGAGCGCTGAACACGAACGACTTACTCCTGCAGGAGGAAACACGAAGGGTTAAAACTTCTGAACTGAAAATAAAACGTTACAGTGCTAACGTTGGTTTAATGTTAAAACTGGAATTCTTAAACGCTCATGCTAACATTAAAGTGCTAATATGGACATTTTCATTTTTTTAATCTTCAGATTAAATCAATGATAAAATAAAAACAACTGAGTTCTATTTTGCTCCGTTTCATGAGAATTAAGTTTTTAATTAATTAAATGTAAATTAATTTGAGTTTTACATCTCCAGCACCTGAGCACAGTCACTGTTGCTTAGCAACAACAAACAAAAACTACAGTTGTTCAGCAGGTAGCTGACACACCTGAGTCTGATTAAAGTGGCTTTACTATATAATCATTTAAATTTATTATTTATTTTTTATTGTTAAACACTTTTATAACTTTATACTGAAATAAAAAAATATATATATATATTTCTTTTTTTTTTTTATTCGCGTTTCCGGCGAATAGTTTAATACTTCATCAGCTCTTTTACCGGATCAACCGGGTCTCAATACCGCAACATACCGCAAATACACCGTAAAGTGTGACATCACCGGTGAGTCACCTGTAGTACACCTGCAGCCTCCACTGAGCACCTTTATATAACTCTCTGGCAGTTTCTCTGTTGTAATCCCGAGAATACCTTAATGTGTTACGTGTTTGCCCCAAATCTGTGCCGCTGAAAGCTTCACCAAATCCCCCTCACAAATCACCACTTTTACATTCTCCATCTCATCTCGTCTGATGTATCGGTCATTTATAGATAAATTCATTTATTCCTGAATAAGTAATATCAGCCTCTCTGTTCGGCAAAAATAAAATATAATTCATTTATTTAATTTAGGTTTATTCCAGTAAAACCAGGAGAAATTTGACTAGATCGCCGCTGTGGCCTCAGCCTTGATTCACGCTCTCACGGAGCATTTTTTAGTATCGAACAAACCGGTTAATGTGAATGAATGTGGGGATGGGTACCGGTTGACGTACAGGGTGTATGCCGAAACAAGGAGTGGACCACAACCACCCTGAAACCGCATTTGTTCATATTTTAAAGAGCAGGAACCTCCAACAAGAAAACGGTAAATTAAAAAGTGGACGACATTTTAAAGGAATTCGGAACGTAGCGTCTCCGCTGAGGTTTATCTGAATACCTCTACTCCTCCTGACTGCTGGCTGACATTTAAACCCTCAATAGGAGTAGTTGAGTCACATTAAGAGTTATTAACGTTTAAATTAGAATATAATATAGAGTTAGGTCTCACCAGTTGGCTTGCATCCATTCAATCGCTCCTCTCTCGTCAAAGCGCCGCTCGAAGCCGTATTCAGCCAGCGGCAGGCGGAGCTCGGTCTCATTTAGCAGGTTCATTATTACCGGTTACAGTCGCTGGAATATGTGAAGCTCCACAGTCGGTGTCTCCTCAGCTGCTCCTCCCGCTGTCTGTCTGTCTCTCTCACCTGGTTCCGTCCTAATTAAAGCCTATTAGCAGGGGGCGGGGCTTCAAGCAGACACCTGTTGGCTGCTTTGTGTCTTTTTAATCTCGATATTTGTCCTCTTTTAGTTTTCCTCTTTTAGTTTTAGTTTCTATCCAGTCATTTTAAACTGTTCTATAGAAGACAAAAGTGAATAAATCTAAAGAGAAATAAGAGGGAAAACTCATTAAAGTGAAAAACAATTAATAATTTAATGTAATATTTAATTTAACACATGATACAAAATCTGGCTCCCAGCTCACTGCACTGTTAAATAAAGTTGATAAAACTGACTTTATTAACATTTTTGAACTTTGAATCGATTGATAATTTACTTTCTTTAGAAAAGCTTGAACCCCCCTTAAACATATAGTTATAAACTAGATAAAAGCACAAAAATATGAATATAAACAAGTTAAACTTAAAACAGTTTCTTTGAAATTATTTGTTTTTTCAGCAGTTTTTTTTACAGTAGCCTATATTAACACTGTAAAACCAGATAAATAGAGTAAAACTAACTTACTGAAGTAAAACTAACTACATTTAGTAAATTAGAAAACATTCTTGATCAAGTAGTAGTTTATTTTATGATGTGAAAACAAAATACTTAAACTACTTAACTAAACTAAGTTATTGTCACTTCAAAATAAAAGCGGCTTCATGAAGAATCTGAGTTTGTGTTTCTCATCTTCACTTTTGGCTTCACGATGAATAAATTAAGATCTTTTTCATTGATCGTGAACCGATCACTGAGTCTAACTTGTGGCCTTAACACCAGTTTTAAAGGAGTCTACTTTAACAGCCTGAGGGACTCAAACCTTCGACCTTGCAGCCGTCGCTCTGACCTGCAGCTCGTTTATAAACTGATAAACAGGAACAGTTTGTTCCAGATGGGAGGACGGCGTCACACAGGCCGGTTTGTTTTCTTTAATCTGATAAATGAGTCACTGGAAGAGAAACAGTTCGGATCCTTTTACTGGAGGAAAAGTATTCAACTGTTAATTCTGATGTCATTAGATTATTCTGATGCTTTAATGTGAAACAGGAGGACAGATTATTACAGATTATTAAAGGAAAATGTTCCCGTCTGTGAAGCTGGAACCATGAGATGTTTTTACTTTTGTATTAACTGAGATTATAAATTCATACAAACATCATAAAACATCTTTACAACACATACATTTCATTTAATTAATATACAGGCTCTTATTGTGAAAACCATGTGTCAATCAGTAATGTTTTATAAGATAAATGAGTTCAATTATTGATTTATTGATTGATGGGCTGATGGTTTCAGATGTACTTTATTGATTTATCTATAAACTACATGTATTTGTATGTTTGTGTGTATAAAGTAACTGAAGCTGTCAGATAAAAGCAGTGAAAGGTCACATTAACTTTATATTTATACGTTTGTATTTGAGTGTTTTACTGCAGTAAATATTATCTCCCTCCCCTGAGAGTGAACTCAGTGAACCTTTGTTCCTCCTCCGGGTGGAGCTCAGCGTCTCCTCAACGTCTGACTGAGAGAAACTGAAGCTGCAGGAGTTTCTGTCTCTTTGTGTTCACAGGAATCTTCACATGAATTCAAGTTTAACTTTATTTAAACCTTTTAAAGTTTGTGTTAATGGATCCTATCAAGTTTATTTTATTTCAGACAAACAATCTGTGATTGGAAAGTATTTAACAGGAGACTCAGAGTACAAAGTACATCTGGTGCTTTTATTATTCCATCTATATATATATATATATATATATATACATAACTGAAATCTGTCACTGATTATATTCAACAACAACAACAGCTGATAAACTGAATATTGAACTCAGTAACTGCAGGAAGTTTGTGTAAAAGATTATTTCCTGATTGATTATTGATCACTTTTTTTACATTTTATACAGTTTTCTGTGTTTATCCATATTTAACAATCATACATTATTAAGTTCCATTGTTCTAAAACAGTTTGTGTTCAACTCATCAGAGTTTAGATATTAAATAATAAACTGTAACTCAGAAACATTGTTCACTTATTTTAAAAACATTATTGATCAAATACTTTATACTAGTTTTTTTTTTTTAAAAAGATTTCAAGATGAAGTCAGTGTGTCATTAAATTAAGTTAATTTTACTTAAAATACTTTCACTTTCCTTTAATCACTTTTTAACAATGTGTGTTAGTTAAATTAACTTTCCTCTTTTACAGTTTAATCTAAAGTTTAAAAATAAAGTTTCATTAAGTTTTCTCCTCAGATGCTGAGATAAAGACCTTCTGTGTATATTTTTAAAGTTTTATTAAACCCTATATAATCAAGAAGACCTCCTATGAAGCTTTGGCGACCCCTAGTGGGGGACACAACCCTCAGGTTGGGAACCACTGATCTGACAATATTCTGTATTTTCTCTTGTGTCTGTGAACCTGCAACAGCATCTTATCCACAGCAAGGATTTACAAATTATATTACACTAAACTTCTGTGTGATCTTTTACAGGTTATATTAAGAAATAAGTCATAATATTCATATTATGAGAATAATTAGAATTTATTTTATTTTAATCCTAACAAATTGTAATATTGTGGTTTAGGGTTTAGAAAGTATTTATTATATTATATAGAATATTTCAGTGTTTTGTTTTCTGAAAAATTCCATGAATAAAGTCAGTTTTAATTTAATGATTATTTTTTTATTTGAGTTTTACAAACAACAGTAAACATGAACAAACAACAGATAATTATAATTTACAGGTGAAGCCTTATAAAACAGTGTAGGAAGTGACGATAATAATAATAAAATAATCTAAATAACTATGAAATAAAATACAGAATAATCTTCTACTCAGGGTTGATTCATTTTATTGTACTGGAGCTTTCAACAGAAATATTACAAAGTTGATTTTTAATAAATTATACAATCACAATGACAATATGTGATATTTAAAGAATAAACCTTTGAACCATAATATTACAATGGTAATAAAACATTTCATTAATAAAGTTCTAATTATTCAAGACAAAATATTAAATGTATGTTATGCACTTAAAGTTTTAATTTTACAGGAATAATACCAATAATATTTATATTATATTTATTTATGACAAAATAATATTTTCTTGTAAAATGAACCCTTTATTTCATAATATTACAGCAGTTGAAATATTTAATTTGTTTATGAAATATAATAAATATAAAACTAAAACTATATCACGTGTATTCAATAAAATACAATAAATAAACAATAATAAATAAATAAATAAATATATTGATTGTGTCTCCGTCCGAGCTGACGTCTGCTTACGTCGCCGCTACGTCACCCGATGCGATGCGGAAGTCGAAGTCACCGTGGAGAACGTAAACTAATGACAACCAACCGAGAAAAGAGAAAGAAGAGGAAGAAGAGAGGAAGAAGAGAGGAAGAGAGGAAGAGAGGAACCGGAGAGCAACCGGAGAGGAACCGGAGAGGAACCGTGAACACTGCGGACACTTCACCTCCTGCTGCCGGCATGTAACGTCACTGAGCTAGCCGTTACTCCGGTCGTCAGTTAACCGTAACATCTGCCCTCTCCGTGCCCGTCGGTTGGCTCGGTACCGTTCAATGGAGCCACCGGGAGTCTCCGAGCCCGCCCCGGTGCCGCTGCGCTGCTGCACGGGTCGCTAGAGACATCACATTCCTTCTTGGAGGTGAGTGAACGATACACCAAACTCCTTTGAAAAACACCTCATTTTAATTTTTATTTTGATATTCGCTAAATTACACACATGCTTTAAAGAAACCGACGGTCTCTCACGGTGAGCTAGAATCTCCTCGTTACTTCGGCGCACAGTTTATCCCATCAGACCGCCGGTTGTTGGAGTGAAATGTCTCTTTCACAACCCTTCGTCTGTTAACGTCTTCTGAAATGTACGGTCCGCCCCGCTGAGCGCTGCCAGCAGCACCGCCAGCAGCACCGCCAGTCTCCTGCAAAAGTCGACATTTGAGCTAAAGCAGGGTCACTTGGTGGATTGTTTGCCCGCCGAACTGAAACGCACCGCCCTGTGGTTTCTAAAAGCTCCCAGTTACAGATGAGATGCTGTTTACTGGGGAGAAACACCAGCGGGAGCGTTAAATGGACTCATTGGTGAAAGGAGTTCCTGAGAGCAGCGGGGATAAAGCAGCACAAACGGGTATTTTATTAAACATACCCGCCTCTCTACTCTGAAATAAAGTGCGTATGAGCATGTGTTGTGTGTCTATGTGGTTTGATGGATCAGACTGTAAAGATATCGGAGGAAATGTCGGAAAGAGCCGAGTCCTCCGCGGCCATCAGTCGGGATCAGGGAGGAGGAAGGTGGAGCGACCTTTACAATGACAGAGAGATCATTCAGGTTCATTTTGGTTTCAGGTGGATTTGTGTCTGTTGTTCTGTGATAACAGTGATATGTAACTTCTATGGTCTGTATCGATCAATCTATTGATTTAACTCATGGTCGATTATCAGGGGAAGGAGAGTTAATTGCTATTATTTTTAAATTGATTGGAAACCTTTCAGATGATCCATTAAACATTAAAGTCATTTATCAGGTTACAACCTGATGAGTTAGTTCAACCCCATCGCTTTAAACTGTTTATTAAATAAAACTATTTAAGCATGAAAGATATTTGATTTGAGTAGGAATAACTAAAAGGATTTATTGTTGAAGTAACTTTGGTAAATGAAGTTCATTGAAGTTTGACTCATATCCAGAATTTCTACAAACTTATTTTAAACGTGTGAACAGAATTGATCATAAAGTCATTCAATCTTTATACAAATGTATAAATTTACTCACTTTTCTTCCACTAAAGCAAATTATTCCATAACCTGTCAAACATCTGACGCACGATAAAAAACAACATTTTTTAACCACAGTTAATTTTAAGTGTATTTTTATGTAAACAGACAAATATTTACACTTTGGTGGATTGTTAAGAATTATTTGGAGGCCTAATGATGATT